CGAAATAATGAAAAAGAGAGTGTCTTTGAGCATTTACAAAATCCTTACCTTTACCTAATGAATAATCCAAAGCAGCCTTCCCACCCATAGATCTACCATGTGCGCTGCCATTGTGCACTGTGTCAACTGTTGCTGCAGTCCAGAGTGCCTGGCAGCCATTTATATGATCACAACATGCTGAGATCCAGGGAGCCACAGTTTTGCACGTCTAAGCCATGGATGCTGCTGCCATTTTAAATGGATTTAAACATGCCACAAGGACCCAATTCTGATTGGGCCTGCAGCGCTGCCGCTCTTAGTAGTTAGACTCTGATTTGTGGGAGAGCTCTTGTGCCAAGAAGCTCTAGTGCAGAGGCAGGGTTAGCAATTCTTAACAATGATCACTAAGGGGGCATTCTCAATAGAGTCGTGAAGTCTTCCATACACAGTGGAATTTATTCTATGGTTTCATTCTGCAGAGCTAGTAAAATGTTGGGAGGGGTGGGACTGGAATTTGTTGCTGAAAGTTGGCACTTGCTCATTTCATTTGGGTTGGGGCAACCTAGGAAGGCGCTGCTAAACCACAGGGAACTGCTTTGGCAAGAAGTATTTGCAAGCCCTTGAAGCAGCTGTCCCTTTCTAAAGCAAGGGAACATGTGGAAAGATGATATTCCATATGATTCCATTTTATAAAAACAAAATGCATAAAACCACTGTTCTTCTATACAAAATGTGCCATTGAAAAGACAGATGACGAATTACATTGCAGATGTGTTGTTATAACAGTTCCCAATGCTATGGAATAAAATTCACTGCAGTTATATGCATGGATAATCAAGCAGCAGTGGACCTTTCATTGGGTGCTGAGACTTGAACTCTATATGGGCTTGTGAGGAATTATAGGCTTCGTTGTACACAAACTGACTTTTTGAGCTAGCAGATCTTGATTTGAGCACATAAATGCAATGAATAATCATAATGGTAAGAAACTACACACACACACCCCAATTATACAGAGTGCCCGCTGTAATTTTTGTTTTTACTTGTTTCTCATATTTCTACAGTGTGGTCACACCAACCTGATCATGCATGTTCAAATGGTCATATATTCATTTTGTCAGAAATACCACACTAACTCAGCTTAGAGGGAACACTGGTGCCAAGGTGCCCAGTGATAACCTTCCTGACGCTTGTCAAGTGTTCGTAGAGAGTGGGCAAAGCCAGGTGAGGCTTTTGCCCAGCAGGGCTTTGGAATTCGCCACTGGAGTTCTGATTGGCTTGGCACTCATGGGCACCACACTGAGACTCCTGCTCAAGAGGAAGACCGAGCAGAATTTGGCTCATGAAGACAAATAATTGATTCCTTACGGCGATTTCAATGGGCTTAGACTGAAGTAATTGTAAATGATTGCACTGTAAAGTACAAGGAACAATGCTCCCTCTAAGCTGTGGAGTCTTGTGAGCAAAAATTCTACTTTGTGAGCTACTAGCATTAAAGTTTTGAGTGAGCGATTTGGCTGCTACATAAATTAGTTTGCTCGGGAGCCCTCCTTCCTGAGCAATTTGGTTACTGCATAAATTAGTTTGCTCTGGAGCCATTCTTCCTAAGCTAAGACCAAAATGTGTGAGCTGGAGGCTAAAAAAATGTGAGCTAGCTCACACTAACTCAGCTTGGAGTGAACACTGACAATGAGTATCCAATATTATTTGGGATTGAGATCCAGGTTCATAAAATGGTCAATAGCAACTTCACACAGTATTTAATGTTATGCTAGGCAGTGAAACTTTTTTTGGAGGGGGAACACACACTAATAGTTCGGAATAAATATGGATTTAGTAAAACAGCAGTAAACCAATGTACTGTTTTTGCTTACCACCACTGCAGTTATAAAAAGAGAGTGGAGCAAGAGATGAAACTTTTTTTTTGGGGGGGGGAACACACACTAATAGTTTGGAATAAATATGGATTTAGTAAAACAGCAATAAACCAATGTACTCTTTCTGCTTACCACCACTGCAGTTATAAAAAGAGAGTGGAGCAGGAGTGATGGAAAAAGTCAGATGGAGGGAATAAGCTAACAGCTGTTTTAAACTTTAGAGACATAGTTATGTGGGAAATAGCACATTTGCCCACAAGAATTCTTAAAGATCAGCTTTCACCCAGAAGTCTGTTTAGGAGCTAAGGCATGCTTCTGGCTATTAATAAGACCTTCATTTAAAAGCACCATTGGCAAAGGAGGTAAAATGGAAGCAGAGGGTCTGGTTGTAGTCTTCAGTGTACAACGTCTTGGAAATGTTAAGCAGCAGGTATGTTATCAAACAGAAAACGAAAGGCTCTTGAAAAAACATGAACTGTTGATACTAAAACACAACTATAGATTGTGAAATCTATCTTAACCATATCATTTTCCTGTCTTTATTATTTTCAGGGTTTTATCCTCCAATAATGACTGATCATTTAACATATCATACAACTATATGCCAACTACAGTGCTAACACTTTAGGAAAGGATTTTAAAACATTACAAATAATGGTATGTTTAACAACATAATGCAAGGAAATCTAATAATTGTACCAAAGGGCCTAGGAGGCAACTGTTAGGAGGGGCCATGGCTCAGGGGTAGAGCATTTGCCTTGCATGCAGAAGGTCCCAGGTTCTAGTACAGGCATCTCCAATTAAAAATTTCAGGTACAAGTGGTATGAGACATTTCTACCTAAGAGCTTGGGGAGCTGCTGCCACTCTGAGTAGACAATACTGACCTTGATAGACCAATGGTCTAATTCAGTGTGAAGCAGCTCCATTTATTTATTTATTTGATTTTTCAGCCACCTTCCCCTGGCAAACCGGTCTCAGAGTGGTGTACAACATAGTCATAGAACATCAATTAAGAACAGGTTAAAGCCAGTAACAAACAGAATGCAACTGGAGATGGCGCAAAGAAACCAGAAACACCTCTATCTCACAGGGGTGGGTGGAAGTGCCAGGATGGAACTGTCACTGTCCTCAACTGAATGCCTGGTGAAACATCTCTGCCTTGCAGGCCCTGCGGAACTGTAACAAGTCTCAGAGGGCACGAATGTTGTTTGGCAGAGAGTTCCACCAGCTTGGAGCAGGGCAGAGAAAGCCCTGGCTTGGGCTGAAGACAGCCAGATGTGTCTTGGGACGGGGACCACCAATAGATTTTGGTTTGCAGAGTGCGATGCTCTTCTGGGGGTGTACAAGGAGAGGTGGTCCTGAAGGTATATAGGTCCCTGACCATTTAGAGCTTTAAAGGTCAATACCAGAACCCTGAACCTGATCTGGTACTCCACTGGAAGCCAGTGCAGCTCACATAGCACAGGATGGATATGTGTTGTGTGCTGTGTCCCTGTAAGGACCTGTGCTGCTGCATTCTGTACCAGTTGGCGTTTCCGGGTCAGCCTCAAGGGTAGGCTCACATATAGCGAATTACAGTAATCCAGCCTGGAGGTAACCATTGCATGGAATACAGTGGCTACTTGCCTGACCTGGTGTGGTTGAAAAAATGTCAGTCTCTGGCAACATGTGTTTAAGAGCTGAGCCAGCATCCGTTTCCAGGATCCAAGTCCATAATATGCTTATGTTCACATTTGGCAGGATTTCTAAAACAAAAATGGCCAGTGTCTATATTCTTGCCAGAGGTGACAAGATGCGGTTTCCAGAATGTTCCTGCTTCTAGTTGCAAGCCTGTTTTGCACACTGATTTGGCAGTAAGCCCCAGTGAATGCAGTTGGAATTATGAGTAAATTTGCATATGTTAGAAAGCATGTGTAATGTCATAGAGGTGACAAGATGCGGTTTCCAGAATATTCCTGCTTCTAGTTGCAAGCCTGTTTGCACACTGATTTGGCAGTAAGCCCTAGTAAATGCAGTTGGAATTATGAGTAAATGTGCATATGTTAGAAAGCATGTGTAATGTCATAACCTTTGAACAGACTATCTATGATATGGCCAAGCTTTCTTTACATCTTTCCAAAGAGATGTTTAAACAGAAAATGCTAAATATTTTCACTTATTTTCTCTTCTTGTGAATATACAAAGAGGATGATGATACCATAATTCATTTCTGTCACAATATATAAAACTAACAACATATAGTTCATGTGATTTTATTTTAATGTAAAAAAATTGAACAAATGTACTACAACCCCCCCTAAAACAAATAAAATGATGAGAACAAAATGTTTTGTAACATGAACAAATAGTTTAGCAACATTTTATCTTCCCTTACACCTGTTTCTTAAACATCCTGCTTTTAAAAAATGCATTGGAGTTATTTAGACTCTGGCATAGAATCATAGCTCATCTGTACATAAAATATGAGATAGATTCACTCTTATTTATGGTTAGAAACGCTTAATACTGTAGGAGTTTTAAAATACCTATCCTCTTGCAGGAGAAGGAGGCCAGATTTTAAAATCTGGGACATTTTCTCTTGAAGGACAACAGAATATGCATTCTGGACACAAATAGGAAATGCAAAAATAGAATAATTTCATTTGCTAAACAGGGACCCAGAAGAAACAAGATGAAAATCCCACTGTGTTACCTAGAAGCACAAATAACAAAGATTCTATTTAGAAGAGTAAAGTCTATCCCTTATAAGTGGTGCCAGCTATGACTGCTCTTGTAAGGGCAGATCTACAGAAGGCTGGGGAATCTATACACGTATATTTTGGTACAATTCATTGAACAGTGCAGTATTAGAAGTGTCACTTGCCAGCACAAGCGAGGAACCAGACACATGCAATAAAAAATACAGTTTTAAGAACTGGCAGGTACAGTCTCTGAAAGCAGAAGTAAGCAGACACAATTCCAGTGAGTACAATATCTTACACTGCCAAGGAAAATCTCCCATATGGCATTAAAAGTTTTGATCTGAATTTATTATGGCTTCTTAACCACACTCACTAAAACACTTTTCTATGACCAACATGTTTTATTTCATCTTTTTTTAAAAAAGAAAAAGTATGCTGGATACTACCATTTGGTTATTAAAATTACAGATCTCTCAACACCTTTCCTTCTTCATCATCATCACTATCAGTGACATTGACTTGCTGTATACTTGAGGGAGTGGACGGGGTTGCTGTAAAAACATTCTCAAGGGCCCCAATGTCCAGCTGAGGAATAGGGTTTAAGTATTCCTCTTCTGTTTGACTGTGGCTGCTGTAATAGGATGTCCCTTCCAAGCTCTCACAACTGTGGGAGTCTTCACTATGCATGTGCTCATCAGGGTATTCTCTAAAAGGATAGTCTCTGTTCAGAGCAGAAAACATAGCCTCATGTTTTTGATACTGGTCTTCGTAAAACCCAAGGCATTCAGGCATGGAGCTGGGGAAGTTCCCATAGCCAAAAGGAGGACGGCTGTATGGACACGTGCTGCAGAAAGAAAGAAAAATTATAACAAATCTTATACCAATTGAAGGTCTATTTTAACATAGTCAAATTGACTAGTGACTGTGAATTTGAAGGTAGAAAATGAATTGTGTAGTGAACAAAAGAAAGGGTCTCATTTGGATAGAAACTCTTAGTCACAAAAGGTAGGATTATTAGCATATCTAGATATTGTTACCCTTTACAAGACTGAAAACAATGAACTATTTAATGTTTTATCATTAAACACATTATAGTATCTGAAGAAGTGAGCAGTGACTCATGAACACTCATACCCTACCACAAATTTTGTTAGTCTTTAAGGTACTACTGGACTCTTTCTCTTTTCTACTGCTACAAACAAACATGGCTACCCATCTTGATCTATTAAAGAATATTAATTTTTGCCAAAATTAGTTAAACAAACAAACAAAAAGCACATGAAAATGTTGCATACATATACAATGTACATAGGAACAACCAATATATCTAATTCCCAATGTGGCTAAATCTATGGATACCTAAATCCTGGAGCCATGAAGAGCCAAGAAAGATTTTTCTACAGCCTGAAAAATATCCCAGGTGTGCAGAAAGATCTAAAATCTTAAAAATAGAAGCAACACCTATAACTTTAAGAAATGAATGTCCTCAGTGACCATTGCTAGGCAACCACACATTATTGCCAGCCTTCAAGTCTTGATTTCTGTCAGTAAAAGGCAGGGCTCTTTATGGGGCTGTTTTAGCCTCTGAGGGAGAACTCATCAGGGCCAGGCCTGTCAGCAACCACCAGGTAATATGATACCACATCGCTTGCATGACTCATCCAGGCCCAGCAGTTTCCTAACATCTAAGCATGACCACCCCATGAAAGCCAGTGTAGCGTTTAGAGTTCCAGATTGGATCTGGAAGACCCAGGTTCAAATCCCCACTCTGCCATGGAAGCTCACTGGGTGACCTTGAGCCAGTTACACATTCTCATACCCATTATTAGTGGGTGAGAAGGAAGCAAGGAAAGAGGATGGGGGAAATGAGGCGCCCCACAAGTTCTTGGCAGTTCTCCACTGTGTGACTTAATAGCCAGCACTGCACATCTGGGCTACAGTTTTTCTGGGTAGGGGATGGTGGGGAGAGGGAGGGAAACTAAACACTGGGAGCAGATAAACATAGGTTGGATGCTGGGTAGGAAGGTCAAAAGAAAGCAGGAAAAGGGGAGAGGCTGTGTAGGCTTTCACAGAAGGAACAGAGGAATTGTGGGGGAACATGCTCCCTGCAAGTCCTTGTGGGTCCCTTACTTGCCATTATCTAATGCAGTAGTAGATTTCCCCCCATAAAATTAATTTTTTTCATACTACACATTTTGAATAAAACCTTGTCTTTCACTTCATATCTAATGCAGTAGTAGATTGTCTTACTTTTCCCCCATAAAATTATATTTTTTCATACTACACATTTTGAATAAAACCTTGTCTTTCACTTCATTCACCCCCAAATTTCACAATTTTTCCAACAGAAAAATTTAAAAAGTCCTTAGACTTTTCTATGCTGTACATTTTGAGTGAGAAAAACCTTGTCTTAAAAAATGTTTTAGGCCTGCCAAAAGAGAAACTATTTCATAGGAGGTTTTTTTCTACGTGTTCCCCATAATGTTGCACTTTTTTCCATTGGAAAAACTAAGTAAGTCCTCAGAATTTTTCTTGCTATACATTTGGAATTAGTGAAATGCTTTTTAAGAAATGTTGTTTTCACTCAAAATGAGAAAATGTTTCATAGGGGTTTTTTTTAGTGGTCCCCAAAATCTCCCAATTTTTCTTTTTGGAAAATCGGGGGGGGGGGAGAAAAAGTGTTTTTTCCTGAATTTTTACTCCCCCCCCCCACCTCTGGGCCTTCCCATTAGTAGTGAAGATGCTTGGAAAACCTCCTAAGGAGAAAATTCCACAGCCTGAAACCACCAAGAGGATTCTACTCCTTATAGCTACCAACCAAAGCTCTGAAAGTTATTGCATATGGACAGGCCTCTCTACGAATAGGGAGAGTTGTAAGGAAAAGGTGCTTTATTTTATGTGGCATTCTGGTCCTAGGCCATTTAGGGCTTGAAAAGAAACAACTTGTACCTATAATTGTGCCCAGAAGCTGTGGCAACCAATTAAACTCTTTTAACATATGAACCCTGTGTTCCCTCTGGCTAGTTCCAGCTAACAACTAAGTTACCATAATTTAGGTCAGCTGCACCTTCTGAGTGGTCTTAAGTGGTCTCATATAGTGCATGTTATAGCCCCCCTAATACATGTTTGACAGTGGCTGGGCCATTTCTTCTCAAGAAAGGGTGCAGCTGGCCGGATAAGCCAAACTACTGCTGAACTCTTTCCTGAATCTGTGCTTAAACTAGTTCATGCTGTTCACAGACAACATTGGGATCCTTCAGAGGAGTTACAGAGAAGAAGAGGAGTAATAACCCAGGAGACGGATATGGTCAGATGGACCGGAAATCCAGAAGAGGACACTGACCCAACAAACCAGAGAGAGAAGATGGGGGGAGAAAATAAACAATAGTGTTAAATTGGTCTAGTTTTGGACACTGGACTACTGATGAGAACAATTGCAGTGGATGAAACACAGAGAAGAAAAAAGAGGGAAGTGAGAAGATGGGCAGGTAGGGTTGTGAACTTCCAGGTGGCACCTGGAGGTCTCCTGCTATTACAATTGATCTCCAGCTGATAAAAGATTAGTTCCTCAGGAGAAAATGGCTGCTTTGAAGAGTGGACTCTATGGCATTATACCCCACTGAGGCCCCTCCCCTCCCCAAACCCCACCCTCCCCAGGCTCCACCCCCAAAATCAACAGGTATTTCCCAACCTGGAGCTGGCAATACTAAGCCCTGCCCAGGCCCAGACTATTGAGTTTTAGCACGGCTGCTTCATCTTGCATTTTTCAACATACCTGGTCTTTACATCCTGCTCTATAAAAATGGTACCTTTTCCTAGAGCTGGCAACCCTACAGGCGGGGGGGGGGATACAGAAATTCACACTAGATCTTGTTACTCCAAATCCTTCAGTAGTTGCCCAGTCACTATCCAATTCTTCATTCTGGAGATATGTAAATAGCTGCATTACCTTGATGGGAAATAATGTGGCCCAGGTAAGAAGTATGGATGGTGAAATGAAAATCGAGGAGGAGCTCCAAATAGAGTGGCTGGATGACCAATGGGAGGAGGCTGATAGACGTGTGGATGGGGAATGGGAGGAGCTTGGGGAATGGGTCCATTTCTAGGACAGGAAGAAACACCTGAGTACTCCTTAGGGACTTGATTATTAGAGACACCATATCTTGAGTGTGCAGTGCTGGTATTATTTGGGTTCCTGCTTGCACTCTCAATTGAAATTTGGGTAGGTCTCTTTACAGAGCAATTTGTTCCTGAAGATACACGGTGAGTTTCTGTGGGTGAAGGTGCAGCGAAACGTTGAGGTTGAAGCACTGGGTGGATTGGCACATTTGCAGCTGGGGCAGCCAGTTGTGGTGTGCTTCCTACATTGGGCTGGAACAGTGTAATGGGGCCTGGATGCTGAGCAGAAGGAGCTGGCAGCTGGAGAGTAGAAGGTGCTTCACCTGTGGAACAAATATAAGGTCAGTCTGCTTTATTTTTAAGTCTCATATTATGCAAACTATACTGTGACCAAAAGATAAAGGAAAATCGGTGAACCTATAATAGCACCATTCCACAATTATATTAGAAACTAAGAGAGCTTAAGTTTATCCTGTTTTTGTAAACCTCAACCCCTTAAAAGCTGTTCCTTGCTTTCTTGTTCCCGCTTAATCCAGCCCAATAGCCATAACCATTAGAACATTCTTTTCCATGAATCAATGATATTAACAAAATAGAGCAAATGCTGTGACCTTTAATCTATCCTTTCTAATGTATTCTCAATATAAACATCCTCCAAGATTCCACTCACTGAAATCCACTACACAAAGTGTTGCTATTGGCCATGTAGTAAGCTCCCTCTGGCATCCTTTGCAGGTCTCTCAGTTCTCCATCCTCATAACAAGAATGTATTATATATAAAACCAAATTCCCAATCCTCGGTCACATCATAGTATGACCAAGAAGCAGAACCGACATGAATTCTGTGGAACAGTGGAGGAACAGTGTAAACAGTTCAGTCTTGAGAGGAGGGAAAATCTGCTTCTCACTACAAGGTGATGGGATGACTCTGAGTCAGGTGTCTGTGATGCATGTGTGAATGCAATTCCACTCTTACCCTTTCTGAAAGGAGCTCTGGAAATTGTGGACAAGGAGCAGTGAGTTTCTGATACTTTCCCCCAAACTAGGGGCTCGGTTTAAGAAGAGAGGAAATGCAGAATCCAATGTAGATTCCAGTGACAGTGGTGTGAAACTGTTCCTTAATTTCTGTGAAAGCCTTTAGGCTAGGGAGTTACATGAATCAAGGGTCCCATGATCTCACATCATCTCACAAATTTCTGTCTGCATTTCATGCTGTAGCCACTCTCCTATTGTTTCATCTCAGCACTGGCTGTCTGCATCATTTTATTGCCATTTAGTGGTGACTCCAAGATCACTACGGCGTCTCAATGCCTTATCTGAACGTGCTCCTCCCCACCGTCGAGCTGCTGTGAGCAAAAGCAGTAGAAGGGAGGATAAAACCTGGTTAGCCCTAAACTGCTCTAAAATAGAAACTTTATTAACAATGTTACCAAATGTCTAAAAGGTGATAACTCAAATGTAACTGCTGTAGTTGGAGAATGCATTTGTTAATATTATCTAGTTGGGAGCCCGTTTATTTGGATCATTATACACCAGACTGTGAACCCTTTGGGTCCATGATAAACATGTGAAATTGTCCTTTTTGTGACATGATACATTGACTGACACAACAGACACTTTCATTTATGTTTCTGTTTATTAGGATTGAAAAAGATTTTGAAACAAGGTCACATCCGGAATCTTTGTTTCATGACTAATGTGTATTATTGATTCCATGGCTGTATACAGAGTCTGGAGCCACATTGTTGATGAAGATGTTTACAATGCCTCTATAATTGTTTATACATTGATTTGTACTATATGGCTCCTTCAATGTTATGAGCTGGGTTTCATTTATGATTTTTGCTGTATATGTTGTACATTGATTGTTATATTTATTGTCCTTTAGACATTTGGTAACATTGTTAATAAAGTTTCTATTTTAGAGCAGTTTAGGGCTACACAGCGTTTATACTCCCTTCTACTGATTTGGCTGTGTTCCCGGTCTTTTTGTGAGCAAAAAGCAGACAACTGGAGCTGAATCCCCCCCCCCCCAATCTTTTCTAAGGAGATCCGCAAATTGTACGGAAGGAATCAAGTTCGAACACCCACCCCTGAATCATTTGTTATTTTCTGGGGCAGTCTCCAGAACACCCTGCCTGGCAACTGCTGGGTGTTTTGTGTTTTTGACTCAGCTTGTTCCATCTTTCCTGCCTCCCCTCTGCCTCCCCCTCTGCCAGGTCACCCCCTTTTACTTTCTGTGGGGGGAGTCGCAGGTGCCGTTTCCTCCCTGCAGCGCAGCGCAGTGCCCTGCCAGCGCCCCTGGGAGGCCGTTCCTTCCATCTCTCTTGCACGCCCTTCCTAACACCTTGAGTCCTGATGCAGACAGAGGAGAGCTTTATATTAAGCTAAATGGGAAGCCAGTGCCACAGCAGCATGGAACAGCTTTACATAGCAAATGCAGATTGGTCCAGGGTTAGATCTGGAAAAGCAGACCCAGCCCTGCTCTCTTGAACTACCTAAGGCAATGGACTCCATGATGGATGGGAAGAGGGAAAGAACAGAACTCTCAATTTCTCTCCTTGTGAAACTCAACAGCACTTTCATTTATTTTTAACAGTTACATCCCACCTTTTTTCCTTGGAACTCAAGGCAGCAGCATAAGGCTAGACAGATACTTGAACAAATTTAGACCGGTGTAGATGCAACAACATGGTGGCATTTTGTGCCTTCAGACCATGCTCTGGAACCTTTGCTAGTAACAATAATGTCCAAATGTTGCACTGAGAGAGGTTAAGGTTTAGAAGCCATTTTGCACATTATATCAAAGAATCAAATTCTTACATGAAATAACTAAGCCATCACAAACTATGACCATATCTTATCATCTCATCTATCTGCTGGCATGTTTTAGTTGTTGGTATTTGGTTGCTTCTTTAAATATTCTTATATAAGTATTCTCTTAGTATGCATGGAGACATTGGGATTCTTTTAGTTTCTATCATTTAAAGAACTCACATAAACTATTGGAATGAACTCACAGACTGGGTGTCCAATACTGTTCTGTACGTTGGGTATGACTACAGAATAGGTGGGTGACCGGAAAGGGTATATGGTTGTTGGATTTGTAGTAATGATATTCTGAGAGGTCCCGGTAAAGACAGTGGATGCTGACATTGGACTCGTAGCAATGATATTCTGAGTAGTGCCAGAGAATACAGTGGAGACTGTCAACGGGAACCGCTTCCGCTTACCAGGTCTTGGTTGGTAAACCCAACCTGTGTGAATATAAAAACGTAGGCTCAGTGAGAAAAATAGGCCATTTTCTATTATTCATCAATATATACTCAGAGATAAAAACTGAGGCTAAAAATTTAATTGTAATACAAAGGAAGGTAAACCATCGCTGTCTGTAGATTTAGGGAGTCAGGATAAAGTATAATAAGAAGCTTATAAATATAGAGACTATGTGGAAAAGTCTCTGAGTGTGTCTAGGAGGGTCTACAGGTTGCCCAAGCTTGAAGACTCTTCCTATTGGAACAGCTTCTTTCTTTGCTATTGTCTAATTACTGGGAGTGGAACCACAGTTTCACAGCTGTAAATCAGAGTTCATTAGAGGTCAGGCTCTGTAAGAAGGCACACATGTTTTCTGGGGGTCTGCATCCCATGGCTTGCATCCAGTGCTTTCAAACAAGAACAGGAGAATTAAGCTTGGGAGTTCGGCATAGGCAGTTGAGGGGGAGCCAGAGAAAAGCCCCTGTAGTCTGAGTTTCCTGAAAAAGGACATACAAGTTCCACACTGGAAGAGAGGATGGTGTATTGCATCATCCTTCCTTCTACAGAAATCTACACAGACGGAGCTAAGCACCCTATTTCAACCCTAAAACATCTTTAAACAACCCAAACAGTTATGAAGGTAGAAAGCTTATAAAGTGTTTAGCAGGAAGTACTACATGGATGAACAGTTATGAAGGTAGAAAGCCAACAAAGGAGTGGGGCTTATCAAGTGTTTAGCAGGAAGTACTACATGGATGATTATCTACCCATGGGGCAGAAACTGTGGTTGTGTACTCTGTACGTGGTTCATTCCCTTGAGACTAATGTTGCCAGCCTGGAGAAGCTGAGAGAGAGATGGGGTGTGTGTGTGAAGATGCATTTGTGAATACCATTCTCCTCTTGCCCCTTCTGAAGATAGGAGTTCGGTAAATTGTGAACAAGGGGCAGTGAGTTTCTGATACATTTCCCAAAACTGAGTTTCTGATACATTTCCCAAAACTAGGGGCTTGGTTTAAGAAGAGAGGAAATGCAGAATCCAATGTAGATTCCAGTGATGGTGGTGTGAAACTGTTAATTTCTTTTTTGTGAGAACCTTTAGGCTTGGAGGTACATAAGTCAGGGTTAGACCTACCAGGGAACTACTAGAACAGTCAGAGTGCACTGCAGTAATCTAATCTAACCAGGGCATGCAACACAGTGGCCAGATCTTTTCAGCCCAGGAAAAGGCCACAGTGGGCTAACCAGTCAAAGCTGGTAAAAGGCACATCTGGCCCCAGCTGTCCCCTACTTATCCAGCAGTAGGCCTGGGTCCAAGAGCACCTCAAACTATTCAAGGCAAGTGCAACTCCATTCAGAATGAGAGACACCTTAAATCCCAGGTCAGATTTTCAGCTCAGCAGTAGCACTTTTATCCTGTGCAGATTAAGCTTCAATTTATTAGACCACATCCACTCCAAAATAGCCTCCAGGTTGTTCAGGGTTTCTACAGCCTCCTGGTGTTGGAAATATGTGCGTTGCAAGGTCTAAAGTCAATCATTATAGGGTTAATGTGCTTACCTTGTGTGCTATTGTTTAGACTGACCTGGAAGGGAACCTGGCAGAAAGCCAATGGAAAGAAAACCCAGGAAACTGAAGCCTATTTACTAACAATCATTGGTTAATGCATTCAGGTGATTTCCTTCTAGGGGTCAAGAAGAAAGGAAGAATCTCCATTACTATCTGTGTCTGTCTGTTGTTGCAAACATGTAGTCTTAAGTGTTTGTTGTTTTGTAGATTTTCCTGTGTACTCTTTACTTTAGAAATAAAGATTTTTACGTAGAAAGAAAATGCCTCCTCTCCAGTGAATAAAGATCCATTGCAAACTCTAAATATCTAACTATTTTCACCAAATTTTCCAACACCCAGAACTGGCCCAAAGTGTGAGATAGAGCTGTGTCATCCACATATTGGTGACAACGCAGCCCTCATCTCCAGACAACCTTATCCAGAGGTTTTATGTAATCATGTTAAACAGAGCTTCTGCCTGAAGTGTTGCAGCTACCATTAGAATTATGTGTGACCTCACTCCATGACATGTGGTTGGCTCTGTGCCCTGCAGCAGCCATTTTGTAGTTGTGCCCACCACCCTGTCTCAGAACTCCAAAGGTGCCCACAGGTTCAAAAATGCTGGGGACCCCTGTTCTACTCTATTTCAGGATTTTACAAGAAGGAACACTGAAACAATCAGATTCTGACACACGTGTAGATAAATATTCTGTACCTGGAAATTCTTCTCTATGTTTTTCTTTAATCTTTTGAGCTTCATCATAATAAGGTTTCTTTTGCTCTTCAGTGAGTTTGTTCCACTCCAGTCCAAGTTGGACACTTATTTCTGCATTATTGGCAGCAGGGTTAGCTTTGGCCAAGGCTGGCCGATGAATTCTTGCCCACACCATAAATGCATTCATGGGTCGCTTGACATGGCCATCTCTATCTTTGCTAAATGGAGTATCTGGTATCCCTGGAAATAAGGAAGCAAAAGTAATATTACCTTGGTTCACACACAGTTTAATCCAATAAGCATACTAACACAGACTATTAAACGATCATGACCAGAATTCAAACAATCATGAACTTGAGCAGCAGCTTCCACATGATGCTTGGCAAAAATTACTTTTGTAACTTAGGGAAGATTTTAAAGCAGTTTGTGATGTGTTCTGGGCAGGGGAGGGAGTGTCAGTTGTTAAATACGTTTTTAATACGCACAAGACTATTGCAATCCTCTTGTATGAACCTCTTTGGATTCCAGTCAATATGCTTTTGGTTTCATACACAGACAAACTCACTGAAGGATTTGAGTACAGCTGCTGGAAAATGGTGGTGGTGAAGGAAAGGTGTCTGATGGCAATATATCTTCTTCTGTTTCTTATCTATATAGTGCTATTAATGTACATGGGGCTTTATGGAGCCAAGAAGATAGGCCTGTGCCCTAAGGAGCTCACAATTCCAAATTTGAGGCAAGAAAGACAACAAATGGAGGGGGAAAGGTAGGTGGGGAAAGGGAAACAGATATTTATCTTTGTTTCAGGAAATGAGGGGGCAACGATGTTTTGCTAAATGTTTTGCTAAACATTTTGCAGAATATCCTGATATTGTATTTAATATCTGGATGCTATTATTGGCACAATTTACCAACCACAGTGTTCAGAAACTGTTTCCAGGTTTGGGGAAAATTGTGGCAAGATGCCCTCTAGTGGCAGCAAAGACTAGGCATGCTGCCCCTCCTCATGATTTTTGCATATACCTCTAGAGGACAGAGTAAACTCCTTCATGTTCCTGTAATTGTCACTGGTGTCAGCAAGGCTAAAAGGAGAGTCACCTCTCTGGTGATCTGCACTTCCTGAAATGGAGAGATATTTAACAGTAACACTGTAAGATTTATAGTACAGTCCTGTGCACAACGATTCCAAAGTAAGTCTCACTATATTTAATGGCGCTTACTTCTAGGTTAGTACGTACAGGGCTGCCTCCTTAATTTCTTTTGGATGCAAGAGTACTGTAGACTTCTCTTGCTTTTGTAATATTTTATTTACAAATGAATAAACAGATCATATTGGAAGCAACAGACTCCTACAGTAGGTACCAAATTCATGGTCCCCTGGATTAGATTATCAAAACAAGCAAATACTTCCTCAGGCCATTTCCTATTAAGCTAAATTGAGCCCCAAACACCCAGCTATTTGTTGAACATGCTCTGTCTCTAGATTCAGACATGCTACAAACTTTTGGTGCACCCATCAGCATTGCTGTGTGTTGTAGACAGAGGGGAGAGCTTTCCAGGCAATTAAGGAAAACATTTACTCATTAAGGAAGGCTCTTTTGTTATGGTCTGACTCCTGTTACTCTGTCAGGTGAAGCCACAGAGTTAGATCTTTCATGTTAATGAAGACAGAATTGCTGTTTAGCCCCACAGCCTCTGGAGGCCTGCGAGGTTCTACCTTGTCCCCCATGTTTTTTTAACATCAACATAAAGCTGCTGGGACTTCCAGATCCAGGCTCAATGACAGAGGGAGCGTTTTGAGCTCACTCCTCTGTTCCTGAAACTTTCTGAGGTTATTCTATCACCTCAAACCGTCTCCCGCATAGAGAGGTTTGGCAAGGGACGTTGTACTGGTTGTTCCTGACGGGTGGCGACCCCCTGGCAAACACAGTTGTCCTGAAGCAGGAAAGTTTACCCAGGAACCCTGGCAAGACTGAGAAGCCGAGCTGAGCACAAGAGGAGCAGCGTTGAATCCACAGAGTCTGAAGGATTATCAACCCAAGAAACAGCTGGAAAATCGAAGCTAAGTAACGTTAATTAATAACTAGATTTAAGAAGTATAGGTCTGGGAGAGAGGGTGGAAGGAAAGCCAGTCTGGTTTAGGTGAACGAGAAAGTAGGAGGAAGAGAGACGGAACTCTGAAGCGGCTAATTAAAGGAACAAGGAAAAAAGGAGGGGAAGAGTCTCTACAAAATTCAAAGGGTAAAGGGAGTGCTAAAGGCAGATTCTGATAGTTAAGCTTTAAGTTATAAAAAGAATATCTTGGCTTCACTTGCTTTTTGTCTTTCTTTCTTTATGTACGAGGCGTCTACAGCTTTAAACAAAGCGACCGAGTGACGAGGCATTGGGAATCGGCAGCCGAGGTGCAGAGGAGTGACGTGGCAACGACGAAAAGAGAAAGGAGGGGTCGGAGGAGAGCGGAGTGGAGGCGTGGTAGAAGCAGGGCCGGCGTAGGAGCCAACGTAGGGGCCAGCGGAGCAGAGGTGTGGCAGAAGATGAAGCAGAGGACGCAGAGGCCAGCGGAGCAGAGTGGTGACAGAGAGAGCTGAGACGCCAGAGAGGAAACAACAGTAGAGAAGCAAGCAGAGAAGCAAGCAGCAATTGTAAAGAACTGTAAAGAAAACACAGATTAGATAATAGAGGTTACATCCGAGCATTATAGTGGTAGAAAAGTTGGGAACAAATAGAAAATTAATGTAAAGACAATATAAAGACAAAGAAAGGGATCGAAGAAGAGATAGATTAGGAAAGGGAGATTAAGCAGGGAATTAAGAAGAGAAACCAGTTATGGACAAACAAGGTGAAATACACTGAACAATAAATGCACGTTAAAATAGTAATATTATAATTAAAGGTCAATTTAGAGTAATACAACCAAAAAGGAAGGAAGGAAGGAAGGAAGGAAGGAAGGAAGGAAGGAAGGAAGGAAGGAAAAAAACCAAAAAGGGGGGGGGATTTTCCAAGCCCAGATCATAAGAAATAGTAATATTAAGATTAAAAATAAATAAAAATAATAACAACTATAACAAAACAAAGTAACAATAAGCAAGCTTAGAGGGCCTCTTTTCATATGGCCTCTGGATACAGCGGTAGCAGAAAAAAAGGGGGGGGGATTTTCCAAGCCCAGATAATAAAAAATAGTAATATTAAGATTAAAAATAAATAAAAATAATAACAACTATAACAAAACAAAGTAACAATAAGCAAGCTTAGAGGGCCTCTTTTCATATGGCCTCTGGATACAGCGGTAGCAGAAAATCATCTTTGCCCTCACCAGGTCAACTAGGAGGAATAAGCCAATCTAAGTTTAGCAAGATGAACCTATCCCAGGTGACAATGGCGGACTTGAATAAAATGTTACAGGAGAGTGTATCACAAGCAGTTTCCCAAGCCGTAAAGATAATGGTGGAAAACACCCTACCAACGCTGATAAAGAAGGAAATAGAACCTATAAGGGTAAAAATGGAGGAAATAACAGAGACGGAAGTAATTAAGAAGCAGATAGTAGAGAATAATCAAGAAATACAAAAAATGACCTCCACACATGTAAGATTTAAGGAAAAATTAAGAGATTTAGACTTGGATGTACAAGAGATAAAAACCAAAAGTGAAAGAATGGAGGAAACACCCATCAGTCTAGAGATGGATAAAGCCTCCCTAATTTTAAGGTGCCAAAATATACTGGAAAATATAGAGAAAAATCTTAAGGAAGAATTGACCCTAAGTAGAGCAGAGCAAGAAGAAATTGCAAATGAAATTGGTGCTCTATAGAAAGAACTCCGCATTTGCAAGGAGGCACAAAAAACCCCGGGAGGTTCACATAAAATTCTATAAGAAATGAAAGAGAAAATATTAAAAGCCTCCTATGAAAATAAGGTCTTGCTCCAAGGTGAGGAAATTTTGTTCCTAAAAGAAATTCCATGGAGAGTCAGGGAGAGAAGAGCGTCTTACTTAACTCTGACTAACCTACTGAAGAACAATAGTATCATGTTTAGGTGGCTGATTCCAGAGGGGGTGTTATTTACTTTTGACAGCAAAAGGCACAGATTGGACTCTATATTTAAAGTTACGCATTTCCTGGAAAAATATGGTGAAGACCTAGGAATGCAAAGAGAGGATGTAGAAGAAAAAGATAAAGAGGAAGATGTTGATACTGAGGAGGGTTTGTTTGAACAGGAGGAGGCTAAAAGAAAAGAACCCTCAAAAAGAAAGGAAAAGAGTAAACCAGCCAAGACAAATCACCACATGTTAACCAGGTTCAAGTACAGGAGCAGAGGGAAAAACAATAAAAAATAAATATGGGGCAAAAACCCCTTAAACTCTTAACGAGGTGAATAGCCAGGAAAAAAACTTTTCACCAATTAAATAAACTTCAGCTGGATAACACGTTTCTGCAAGAGACGCATATAAAGAAGAAAGATATTAAATACTTGCAATGTAAAAAATTAGGCACAGCGTTTATAGCCTCAGATGACAGGAAAAAAAGAGTAGTAGTAATATATGTGAAAGACCATTTAAGACCATTTAAATGTATGCTGCAGAGGACGGTAGGGCAGTAGTTATAACAATAACAAAAAATGGAAACGAAATTTTAATAGTGAACATATATGCCCCCAACCAAAGTCAAGAAAGTTTTTTCAAAGTGTTACAAGGAATGCTAAACAAATTAGAAGTGGACAAATTAGAAGGGGATTATAATGCAGTTTTAAACTCGGCAATGGATAGAAAAAGTCATAGGAAAAGAAATAAAAAAGTCAAAGTATTGCCCAAAAGCTTTTGGCAAGTAGCGGAAGAATATAGTATGATTGATGCGTGGAGAACCAAAAATTTGAGGAAGCGGGACTATACAAATTACTCTCCAAGGCACAACGCCTGGTCACGGATAGATATGGTTTGGATATCTTCCAAGTTGATTAAGGACTTATTAGACTGTGATATTTTGCCTGGAACATTTGCGGATCATAATCCTCTACTAGTAACATTAGAAGAAGAAAAGAAAAAAAGTAGATGGTCGCTGAATACAGGACTCCTTAGAGACAAGGAGCTAATGCAAAAAACAAAAGAAGAAATAGTAGACTTCTTTAAGAGAAATATTCAACCAGAAATGCCAATCGAGATAGTTTGGGACACTTTTAAAGCGTTTATGAAAGGGTGTTTCATTAGCAAAAATGCATGGAAAGTTAAACAAGCTAAGAAGAAAT